GTGCAAAATACCATAGTATTCAATTCAATTGAATAATAAATTGAAGAAAGAGAACTGTTGTTTTCGATCACAGCAATGTTAATCTTTACATAAATGAGACAAAAAAAAGAGATAAGCCATTTGATAATATCAAACGAAGAGAGAAATAATCTCTTGCATCTTTCTTCTGTCATACGATTGAAAGGTCTTTTTAAATTATATGCACAGGTGTTTTTTATCAGTCGGTTTTGAAGCGAACGCCTATAGAGTTGATACATTCATAACAAAGCTTGGATATGTATCGGTTTGTGAGAATTCAAATGAGAAAGCATGACTTTCATCATGAGCTTCTAAGATCGGATACCATCAGTCCGTTCTTATATTATTAGAATACCATATGTACGCTTCTTTTTCTGAATTATCCGAAGATGTCTCTTTCCTAGAAAATTTTTTAATGATAACTGGGTGATAATTTACTCATTTATTTATTGTTTACGGATGTAAGAATAATGATTATTATCTGTTTTCTTTTGATTTCAACCAGCGTATTTTTTTCTTTCGTTTTATAATCGAGTTGCTTATATTATAGAGAAAGTGAATGTTAACATTGCATACTGGTTGACCATCGAACAACATAAGTAGCTCACTGTGAGCAGATGACTATTCATTCAGTTAGTCGTATGGATCTTTTTTCAATCTCAACTGACTATAAAGATGAAAATGAGTCGAGATAGGAGTGAGATAGAGTATAACAGAACAGAGAAACAAATGATCCTTTCATGGGAATCGAACCGCACATCTTATGCTTTTCAGGTAGTTTTCTTTCGATAGACACTCAACATGCTCTTCAATACTAGTTTTGAAAACCCTTTTTCGATCTTTTATTTGACTTTTCTCAACAAATATATTGTTTGTAAGCAAATCATCAAAAGAGACTGTTGGGATTAGTAAAAGTAATTGGCCATGATTGGTTTCGAGCGATATTACCTAGAAACATAATTTGGACTGCTATGGATTTTGAGATTATACACATTAATGCCATACTTTACTATCAATAATACTATAACATTTCATCACAATGTATTGCGAAAAAGTAAAATAATAAAGTGGAATATTGATTGTACTTGATGACGACGGACTAAGTTGCCTAGGGTGTGGGTGTAGTTAGAGAATAGGCTCACACTCCACATCCACACCCCATGGTTGTCATACGGGCAAATGCAGAAATTGAACACTCTTTCTAACTAAATTAGTATAATTTCAGTGTGTTTAGATAGCTCAAGTTACAATGAGTAAATAGTCTACGAGAAGAATGTGCGACGAATATAGCTTCGTTTTTTGCCTACGATCTGCTACTGATTGACGGAAAACGCTGTGTGGCTCAAAATGTCTGTTAAAAGCACCCTGGTCCTTTACAGTATAAATCGACTTCATTATTCGATAGAGTTCTTAAATAGTAATCTGATAGTTAGAGGCACACAATTTTTCAATCTCATGAATTCCTCTATATTTCTCATTCTATATTCAAGTTTTATCTGACATTACAAAATGACTAATTTATCTGCACGCGCCGGCTTAGCACTTCTTCGTAGTGCACTAATTCTATCAATATTTGGCGTTATTGGCATAAATACTGATTCCATGTCTGATTTGGAATCAACAATCACAGCGCATGGTGGGCAAATGCTGCGAATTACCGATCTAGGATATCATTCGGCGGCCACTCTTTGGAATACGGCGATTCAAATTTGGCCCAGTCTTATAATACGACCTGCAACATATGATGATGTCACACTTGCACTTTCTATGCTTTATTCACTCAATATACCTATTCGTATTATGGGTGGTCGACATAGTTATGGAGGTTATTGTAGTCACCAAGGTGTGGTACTCGATTCTGCCTTACTAAAAAAGATAGAAATTGATTGGAAAAGTGAAACGATAACCATGCAAGCTGGTGTGCTTTGGGATGAGGTTTATGCAGCTTTGAATGGTTCAGAGTACGCAATTGTTGGCGGGTTATGTCCCACCGTTGGTGTAGTCGGTTATACGTCCGGGGGTGGTTATAATTCTTTATTTTCTCGCTCGTATGGATTAGGATCCGATAATGTTCTCAGCTTTAAAGTAGCCACGTACAATGGTACCATTGTCACTGCGTCATCCACCAGTAATCCTGATCTATATTGGGCACTTCGTGGTGGTGGTGGAGGAAATTTTGGTTACGTCTTAGAAATGACACATAAGATTCATCGAATTAATCAAACGAATTTGCCCGCTGGTCAACTCTCATTTTTGAGTATTACTTGGTCGAATCGAAACGATTTCCGAGCTGTTCTTCGCAATTGGCTCAAATTCGTCGACGAAGTTGCTAATTTTGATACTCGCATTGGTTTTGATGTAATTATTTTTACTGGTTCTGAAAACAATTTTCTCTTAATTTACGGTTCATTTAACGGTCCGCATGCAGACCTTGAATCAATATTTCAACCTTGGTTATCCAAAGGTCCAAAACCGGACATTTATATGGTGAAAAATTTTACACAATTTGAAATTATCGCTGTGACTGGTACGGCAAACTATCCATTTCCAGTCAAGGAACGACAACATATCGTTTCTGCTATGGCTATCAATATCACAGAGACAATGCTTGATGTTATTCTGGAGCCTCAACCAAATGCTACATTTCGAATTTTACAGTATATAGGAATTATTTATCTTCATAATACTAACAAGGACAAGAATACAGCATGGGCATTTCCAGATATTTCTTTTGATATTGCTCCCGGATTTGCCTGGTATACATCTGAAGACGATTCTACGGCCATCAATATAGCCGAAAGCTGGCTACAGAGACTGATGGCTGCTGCGACACCAACGAGAAGCATTGTTGGAGGCTATGTTAACTATATCGATCCGTATATGAACAATTGGCAACAAATGTACTATCGTGAACATTGGAATCGATTGAGAGAGATCAAAACTGCCTGGGATCCGACTTGGTACTTTCGTTTTCCTCAAGGAATTCCACCGAACAATCAGTAATCAAAGTTTTCTTCATTGATAGTTATAAACAGGATGATTATTCTTTGTTCTTTCATTGTTCTCTTGGATCAATTATTCTATTCCTTTCAATAAAACTATCGATTTTCTAGCATATAGCACTATGAAAACATTAATTGATATAGAAATCGTAGAATATCAAAGCAAACAAATACAATATCAATATAAATTGTGAGATTTGCGCAGTCTTTGATGGATGTTGCTCTAATTCATAAAAGAACTTTTGTTTCTCAATTGTATTTCTACTTGATTAAACATTCCATTCGACTCATTGGTCAAATATCATGAAACATATAAAAATGACAGAAATCTGCAGATATATACCTGTCTGGCAAAATTTAACAAACGTTTTCATGTGACGTAGAAAATTTTTGCAGAAACGATGAGGTGTGAGTGTATTTATTTTTCCATCAGCACATCCACTCCCACACCGCTTGATCCTTGAACGAAGAAATCTGAGGTTCTTTTTTCATAAATAATATACATACATATCTGAATAATTGAAAAGATAGCTAAGCATCAGCGTAAAGATAACTGATATTTTTATACATTGCACATATAAAACAAATGCGAATAAAAATTGTTTCTAATAAAGTACGACCATTGATAAAAAAATTCCTTTACATGTATTATATTTGTTATCGCTCTGAAAATTTTGTTAAATGATTATTTAATTTAAAAAAGTGTCTTGAAAATGTAACTAAATTTTCTAAGAAATATCAGTTTGCAAGAACATCAGCAACCATCTTCTGAAATTATGCATGAACTCACTTGAGGGTGTGGATGTTAGTCTTTTAAAGCAAAAGCTTGAAAACACCAGAAAAATGGAACAGTTTTTTCATAGCACTTTGAATACACTCGAATTGATTTCATGAAAAGTATTCCGAAAACTAAAAATTAGATCTTCTCAAGATTTGTTGTCGTTTCTGCATTCCCTTTCTAAGCAAATATCTTTGGTGACAATAGTTTTGTAATATAATTCGTTACTTTTCTCATCATCTGTGATCGCTATAGCTCTAAATCTTTGTTTTTATTTTCCATTCTACAAATCGTGTTATTATTCGTTCAACTAGAGGCGATTTCTTTATTTGTATTCTTTTTTATATTTGATTTATGAAAAAATTCACGAAAGTGATTCGATAATTAAATACCTATCTGCTTTATTTTTGTCGTTACAAAATCTTTTTACATTTTTAAACAAGAGTTCAATTAAATGACTGAGAGATGCTCGAGTGATGTTGTTTGTTTTAAGCTGCAACATGTGAGAAGTAACATCAACGAAAAAAACGTAGCAGCGTCTTTGAAAAGACGATATATGAAACATACCTACACATTTAAAGGAATAAAACAAAAATGTAATGCGAGCATCAACTGAAAAAGAAAAAAAATTCTTACTCGAACATAATAGTCGGTAACATTAAGATGTGTGACAATACTTTTGATTTCATCTAGAGAAGCGAATGATTCTATTATTTAAAAAAATACATTTCATATGAAAAAAAGTGTATGATGATGAATGAATATAGTTGATATACACCAGTACCCCATTAAAGTCTAACAAAAAGTTTAAGTATAAGTCAAATAGAAAGAGTATTGGTATGTCGACTACACTTCAACTTTCGCTACATTGAAAACAAATTACTGAGGAATCGAACAAAGTTTGGAATTTTCTCATAAAAAATGATATTATTCAATACCTATAAACACTGACTCGTGATCATTTTTCGAAACCAGATTTTATCCTGAGAAAATAATAATGACCATCTATGGCCAATATTGAATCGTAGCAAGATGCTACATGCTAAAAGTACATTTTGTTTTTACCTTCGTTATCAGAAGTCCGAATGATTATAAATGCGACATTGCTCATGTTAAAATTCAATTAAAAATGACTAAAGAAATTGATATTAGATATTTTATTCATTCGTTTATATTTTCTGTAAATTAACAAAGAAAAAAAATTAAGAATAAAAGCCAAGAAAAGGATCAGTTTTCTGATTTTTTTTCTTCAATGGTCGTTTATTTTGCGTTGTGGTGTGACCATTTCCAAAGCCGTTTGCCATATTTGCCACTGCATCATTCTTTCGTGTGTAGATCTCGGCCAAAGAAATTGGTTCATGGATATCCTCGCCATTACCATATATACCTAACTCCACGCACATACGACGGGCATGCTCTACACTCAGCTTATCAAACTTGTGTTCGACCACTAGTCGTCCATCGCGAAGAAGAGCAGGATCAATACCTTTGACATCACAGTTGAATGTACAAATAATTTGTTGATGCATAGCATCGCCGAGAAGACCGTCAGAAAGATTGAGTAAATTAGCTACAGCCTGGCTGGGTAGAATGGTGTTTTGTATTCGATCACGAATAATATTCTCGGCATCTTCGACGATCAGAATTGAGTTCGGATATTGCATGAGAAACGGTAAGAAACCAGGCTTCGTTATTTCCTAGAACGAAAAAAAATACTGGTTTGATCGTTTTTGAAAGGCTTACTCTAAAACGATTAGATGATACGATATATATATGATAATCTTTATACTTCATTCAATAGAGACTTCGGAATGGTATTTTTGAGCAAAGGTATCAAAGTATGGTTTTTGTGGGCAATAAGTTTCTCATAGAATCGTAACTAATTCCTTTAGACCTAAAGTGTTTGAAATTGAAAAAGCAGACTTATCATCTTAAATGTGTTATTTTGTTTAGATGTTCGAATATATTATTTTTCTCTTTATCTAGATTTGGAAACCAACGAAGCAATGTTCATTCGTAATAAAAGTCTTCAATCTAGAAGCTCTCTGAGTAATTCAAGAAAAAAAATGATATTCCTTTATTTATTTCCATTGATGAAAGTATAGATCTAAAATAGTACTAGCATTATAATTTCCTAATGTAGTTAGTTTTCAGCTCAGACTGATTGATTCGAATCAATTGACTTACGTTGACAAGATCAGGTGGAACATAGATCAAACTTTTCTCTTTGATTTCATTGATCAAATATCGCAAATAGTAAGTTTTGCCGGTACCCGGAGGACCATGAAGTAAAGTAATGCCAGTAGAATCTTTTTCTTCTAATGTTTTGAGAAGTTGTTCATGAATAATCTCAAATTCGTCACCGTAGTGAAGTTTAAGATCAGTAATGTGAGGCTGTTTCATACGAATGGATGAAGTGTAGAAACCACTTTGAGCATCATGACAAACCATTTGTAAGGTAGCCTCAGTTATTGGAAATAGTTTGAATTTTGATATTTGTCCAAGAAGTGTTCGTGCACGATCTGCTGTTTGTGGAACGTGGAAGATCTGAATAGAAGACGAATAGATTGTCAATGAAGATTGGTTTGTGATTGTGTAGAAAAATTTCTTGAGAATTTTCAGAATAATTTTCTTCTCAAAGAAATTTATTTGAAAAATATCTAAGATAATTGTCTAGTGAAATTCAAATAGAATATTGATTGATGAAATATTCTTTGGAAAATAATGAAACTCTACATAGAAAATCAATTTTCAATTAACATTGTAGTCTACTTGAAATAATTTTAGACAATGACTTGTTACTGATTAGTTTGTTCGCAGGAATTGAAAATAGTTGAAAAGGTCTGACTCTTTCAAAAAAAAAATCTTATTTTCAAATCAAGCTTAATACCTTTCATAGATCTTCGAAAAACTTGAGGAAAATTTGTTAATTTATAATTTTTTAAATTGGTACATTAAAACATATATTATTTAGTTAGAGATCGTCATGAATATTCTAATCTATAAAATCGATCATCAATTTTATGTCAAATAAAATTTGATTATGAAAATAAATTTAGCATATCAGATTTACAACAAATGCTTACCATAACAGTGGAAAAGCAATGGAAGATTTTTTCTTCCTGATCTGGTTCGAGATCATTGGGATTGTCTACATTTACATGACTTATAGAACCACCATAGAATTGCACTAAAATATTAAAAGAATTCTTATTAAGAATTGACAAATGCAAAAAGAAATTTCAGAAAATAAACCTTCTTATCGGAGAAAATTAAGTTGTTTTTACCTGATAGATAATTTCCCAAATCAATATAAACCTTGGCGATAAGAGAACTATTATCCGATGTATCATAACTCCAATCGTAAATAAAACTATTCGGATCAATTTTATATTCATTGATGATAAAATGTAAAACACTGTTTGAAAAACAAAAATTGCAAATATTTTCGTTGAGAACAGATCAAAATTAGTTGACTAACCTCGTAGAGTGATACATTCCTCCTTGTTTGCTTTTTGAAGACCATTGTCGTCCTCGTGTAGAAGACAATAACTGACCAAGCGAATTGGATGTGGAAGCATCATTATAGTTGCTACCAACATAATGTATACTTGGATTTACAGTGCAAGGAAGAACTCGATACTTCAATGCAAAGAGAGTTGGACCATAAATAATATTTTGCTGTTGATTCGTGAGTTGAAAAATCTCTTCACTTGTCAACGGTTTATGATCATAGGCGCCAGAATAATTCGACGACAGAATTGTAGAAGTAAGATCTTCACTATGCATATTATGTAAAAGAATAATTAATGATTAACGTTGCTTGGAAAAAGAAAACAGAATGTCTTCTTTGCTTCATTTATTCCTAAGTATATATAGGTGGCTTGATAGTTTGGCATATGTGTTCGATGGTTCTTTGTTTATGTATTCTTTCGTCCGTTTCGATAATATAAATTAGCCGATGTACTACCGATAGAAAATCAACAAATTCTATTGGTCAAAAATACTTATTGAGCATCGTTTAGGCAGTCGAATTTGACGGTACATTGTTTATAGACGGCCTTGATCGGTCGATAAACTTTGATCAGTTATTATATATTATAGAAATTGTCTAATTAGCCTCCTTTACCAGAAACATTTACCCAATATCTGATCAATTTTTTTTGTGACGATGCTTAGTTTTATAAGGATTCTTATTTGAGCTCAAATTGTTATTTCTATTCAGCTGTTTAGGCATGACAATACTTCAAAGTTCGAATTTAAAAACAATCTTTTCTGTTGGAGATAAGAATCATTGACATGTCAAGTCACACATAAAAATATCACATGTGTCAAACGAACCATCGAATCGAATGGCAATTTTAAGAAATTTATTTCTCATAATCAATTATGCATATAAAATCTCAAATTACTCATTGAGAATTCAATCATGTTTTACATTATCTAATTGAAATTGATAATAATGCACGAAATCATTCTAACCTAAAATTGAAAATTCATGGCCAGAAAAGTAAAGATTGATTGACTCTGAAACTTTAAAACATATTCATTAAAAGAATATCGTTAAATATAATATTGATGAGTATTAACAAACATAAACAACTTCTTCAATGAAACGTATTTACGAGAAAAAAAAAGTTTCATTTGAACAAATCAAATTACATAATGGCTATCAAGTTTGATTATTTATGCTTTTTTATTTAATCGATCATTTCAGCCTTGAAACAAAAATGTCAACTTTTCACAATCAATACATTTGTTTAAATATTAAATCATTATCTTATTATATTAAATTAAATTCAATAGGTTATGTTCAACATAACTATTCTCTTATATGAAATCATTTCAAATTATTAATTATTCATTTGAAATTATCCCCATGGAAAACAAAAATAAAATATACATTTACTTTATATAGAACGATGTGGATGTGTGTGTAGATTTGGATATAATTGTTGCTGAAGACCAGACACGCATCACATCCCACACACCGACACTAACAATCTAAACCGACAACCCACACCCCAATGAAGTATGTGATTGAATGATTGTTTTTGAATGATCTTTCGATATTCACTTTTACGATAAAGAGCAAGAATTACTGAGCATATTTTCCAACTGTGTTTGATGATCGAAGAAGTGAATGGCAAACAGTTACATAAGAAAAAAAAAACGACAGAAATCTATTAAATTTAACGGAGCATATGCTGTCGACGAAAGAGAATCGTTCAAAGAAAGTGTTGTGAAATTTGCTTAACGGAAATTCTAATTTTGATGCTTGATTGTCTTCTAGAATAACATGCTACAGTAGATTTTTCAAGCTAGAAACTCATATGCAGAAGCATCGTGCCCGATAAATAGAATATGGACTCATTTTTCGAAAAAAAAATGTACATCTGTCTGCTAGGATGTTAGTGAACACAACTGTTTATTTGTTCTTGATTCTTTTTATTTCATGAATCTTTAAAAAAATCAGGTTAGTGAGGAAATGTGGTGCTAACACAGTAATTTGTGGCTCTAATGTCCCAATGATCAGATTCCTTGGTAAAGGTGTTTCCATTAGCTGACTGATATTGTGCCGCTCCAGTGGAGGAAGCCGCAATGCTTTCGAACTTGCTGCTGATATAAGTGTCGATACAAGTGTTCAGTGCGATGCCGAGTTTGTAGCCATTTTCGTTATTTGTTTCCTGTTTAAATGTCAATATAATTAAAAGATAAATGAAAATAAAATGTTCTTACCGTGCCAAACGTAATAAGGATATCACATTCAGATGCTGTTTTGAGTTCTCCCAAGCATCCAATAGAGTCACAATTAATTTGCTCAAGTGAAACGCACGTTGTTTCAGTACCTTCGCCACATTCACTGGTCGATGGAATTCTTATACCCATCGACTCAAGTTGTGCCACAGCGGAAACATGTGTAATTTTACAATCAGTCAAATCTTCTAATAATGTTTTAAGAAAACAAAGCAACTAATCAGAGCTGTACTCCTTTTTCAAAAATATTTTCGCTTTTCTTCCTCAGAGTATTTCTATTCGCCACAATCCTCAAAATATTCTTCTACAGTAGCGATATAACTCATTTTGAACTGAGTCTTTTCAATGATTTCAAGCTAATAACTAACCTGCATCAACAACAGTGGTTCCAAGAATCAACATCGCAAGGACGAAAATTCGATGCATCATGTTCGTTAAAGAAAACTCAAATAACAGTAAACATATTCTCGGTGTCTTTTATACCTTGGCTGCACTTACATTCAAGAGAATAAGTGTATATGTTAAAGTATGCTTTATTGACAGCCTTTATCGCTTAATCAAATAACAAGTGCTCGTCGTCAATTCGTAGCATCTGATCGGCACAAAAATGGATACGACAAACACACATATTTACCTTCATTCGAGGAGAAGAGAAAAAAATCATGCAATTGCTAAAGCAGGCACCTCCACACACTTCAGCTTTTGCATTCATTCTTTTGCCGTAAGGAAACAGCTTATTCAGCTTTGCGTTTTATGAATCTCCACCGTAATTTTTTCTGACAAAAGCGAGTTATAATTTGTCTTTAAACAAATTTTAAGTTTTTCTAAAGAAACAGAATTAAGAACTTGAAAGCTTCAAATTTCACTTGAGCTTATGTATGTCGATGTTAATTTCATACATTCAGATTTAGAACTACTCCCAAAGTAAATATTAAATAGTTAGAAAATGACATTTAAATGCAATAGAAAAATTGCAGTATTTCTTTTTTTTTTAGTGATGATAGACAAGCATCAACGCGACTAAAGATATTTATCAAATGTAGGAAAGTTTAATAAATTTAATCGAACTTCTTTTTATCAGAAAAAGTCGTTTTGATTGGAAAATATCAGACTCAACCATTGAAAAATTGAAACAACTGTTCATGATAGCGTTATTACAGCTTTTCATATATAGTAAAAGCTGTCAAGCTGAAATCTTGTAGTTATTTAATATTAAACAGGTATAAACATCTACGAAATTTACAAAATTTTTGCTTTTATTGAATACATGAAATATCAAACACTTGAAAAAAAATCGATATGATGAATAAATTTCATCGTTCTAGTATTTTTTTTATAGTTTATTTTGTCAGTAAATATTCACATACATATGCATACGTGACAAACACTTCAATTTATAAGAAAATTCAAATTAAACAATATTCATTTCATAAAGACGTTTATTTAAAAAAGTACACATTTCTTCAAAGATTGACCGCTCATTATAAGGACGCCAAAATTCAAGCATTAAATCAATAAGGTCTTTACTTAAACGTTCAGATTATGTTATACAATTAGGCATTGCTTTCCGTAGTGTTATACTATTTGACACACATTTGAAATATATTCAGGTGCTACCACCGAATGAGTAATTATATACGATTCATTTTATAATAATGTAATTGAAATTGTTCGAATGCCATAGCTGACTTAGTTAATTTAATTTCATAATTTGAATGAATTAAACAGTTTCGGGCAGCTATATCACCATGAGTAATATGATGTGATTCAAGCTAACGAAGAGCATCCGATAGTTGAGTCATAAAGTAAAGACGAAAATTCTTTTATGTTAAAAAAATATGTAGAAAGATCCATTTAAACAGTGTGTTCAATAAGAGCATAGTTTTGTTCCGTTGTATAACCATAAAATTAAAAAATTTAATATTAAAAATTTTTACTTTGATTTATATCATTAGTTGTTAGAGGGTGTGAGTGTGATTGAAGAGAAGGCTAACATTCATACAGTCATGCCCTATTCGTACTCTTATGGCTATGTTCCACTGACTGATGAAAATGTTGGAGATCAATATGCCTTTCGCTATGTTACTTATAGTGATTTGGTTCCGCGTGAATCTGATCATGAAACATTGGCAGCCGTACGGGTTACTATGTATGAGTTCATGTATTACTTAACATCCTTTCATTTATTTCGGTGTGTCATTCACCTTTTTTTACAAATCATTTATAAGCGTGATCATCGTGATAGAAGACATTGGCTAAATCGTGCGAGTATTTGAAAAACTTGATTTATATTATTTATTTCTATTCAAACAGAAATAGGATATGATGCAACCAATAGAGAGTAATTGAAAAAAAAAGAAGACAACGCCAGCCAGGAATCGAATAATTCTGTTCAAACAGTAGAGCATCTATTCATAGAAAAACAGATACAAATATCTTGAATTCAAATCCACAATTAATCATAGATTAGTACTGAAGTATTTTTCTTGCGAGAAAATCTTGTTCATTATTCCTTGATTATGATCTTGATCGAGCGCTAATGATAATTTTTAGAAACGGAGCCAGAAATTAGGTGCGAGCTACTTAGCCCTCAAGTACCTCCATGACGAATAATTTTAGCTACATAATAGAATTGAGCCTTACAAATCCTTAAGCAGTTGATGAAAAATATTATTTTGTGAACAGTTATCAATCAGTTGAGAATCTATTCATCGAGTAAAATACATCGTAAAACCTAAAAATGGATATTGGTGATGGAAATAGCTAGTAGGGATCGAAACGAATAAGAAAATCTCGATTCGACTCAACCGAATCGACTTATTCGACAATTTTATTTGATTTTGACCTCTGATAGATAGTAATGAAAAGTTGGTCAGAAGGACTTCTAGATTTTGCGACAATAGCATGTAGCGTCATCTTTTTTGACTGCTATTTCGTCATTCATTCAACGTTGTATTTTTGTGAATTCTGATTCATGAAAGGCGAATGCAATAAAAAAGAAACTCACCGAGATTGGAGAACAGAACAACAAAATAGTAAGTGACGAAGTCACATGATGATGGTATAATAGAGCTTGAACATTATTCGTTAACATTCCACTCGTGTATTTGGCTGATAGAAATAGCGGTCATATTTTTCTATTGACCATTTAAAGTAATTTTAGTCGAGTCCTATAAAATTATTGCACGACATTCTGAGAATGATACACATGGGTGCAGGATGTTGATCCATAGACTCGTTCTCGTCTCGACAAAGCCAAGTCGCTACTGATTTGTGTTTGGACAGGATGAACAACATTCTGAATCAATATTTACTTCGTAATGGTCGTACCTGAAGCATCTTTAATACGACAATCAACGAATTGAATGCTTATCCGGTATCATCTGATTATCTTCGTGTGTGAACAACAAAGATCAGCCTACAGAATAAATTGGTTCATTTTTTTCAAACAGTTTCCGATGTCATTCAACAGGATACCTGAAATTTCCATGGTAGATTAGTTAGTTATTCCTTGGTTTGTCTATCTGGCGATAGACGAACAACAGACGCTGGAACATGTCTTTCAGCTTAGTGGAAGAGTTCGACAACAAATCCAGGCTTCAGCAAAAATTATTGGCTGAAGTTGTTGTTGGTACAGGATGAAGCTGGAAAATTCAAGTCGTGTCCATTAAATAATTTTCGTTTATTATAGAGGTTTTCATACTATGAAATAGAACTCAATGACTGTAAAAACGTTTTTGTCTAAAAGATGATAGAACATTTTCTATTCTCAGTAATTTTTAATTAGACTTTAATTGACTAGAAGAAAAGATTTCGCGGTATGCTTTGACTTGAAAAACCTCTGACTTGCCCAGTTCTGGTACAAGGTGTGTGAAAATGTTTTTCTAGAGAACTAAGACTGCAATTTCAAAGAACGTTAGCAATAAATTTTATACTTAATGAAAACCCGTCGAAAATAGGATTTTTCAATACTACATAGTAAGAATAATGATAAGTTCTTAGTGTCGAATTCTATTGATGAAGAAAATCTTAAAAGAACATTATTGATATGTTTTGGCAAACGTGAAAACCAATAGTGATCTATGTGAAATTGTTTTATAGTTGTATTCATCTCATCTTCTTATTGTAAAACCGCTCATGGCTGTCACCCTGATTATTGATTATATGCATCAAATCTTAAAAAAACGAACGTTACATTTTAATATCTATCATTTTATGTATGATCTAGTTTGAACTGCCTCATGAAAGGAATTTGTCTCCCTTGATATAGTGTAAAGTTTAAGGAATTTATTGTATTCAACACTGAGAATGTATCATAATTCTTACTATATCGTATTCATAAATCCTGTTTTCATTTAGTAAAAAATTTATTGTTGATATTTAAATTCATGGCATTATTTCCTTAGAAAAAACATTTTTATGCACTCTGTATTATTGACATAGCAAGCAAACATAAGAAAAATTGTCATTTTCATTATTTGTTTAGCTGAATTCTCTCTAAAATGATCGTCCTGCTACTGTGACTGGTTTTCATTGACCACCATAGTATTCATAATGGAGAAATTCTATTATAATAATAAAAATTTCTTTAGCATTGTAGATTATCGTCATACAATGACTAACAATGCATTCAAATTGGAAATGTTACCCAATGAATTATTACTTGAAATTTTTGGTTATTTCGAACTTCGCGATTTATATTACGGTTTTTCGGATCTCAATATCCGATTCAATAAATTGCTTCGATCATTGAAAAACTTTTCTATTATTTTTGAGCACAATGATCAATTAACAATATCATTATTTGCTCGTCAAATTATTCGAGTAGTAGTTATGCCTTGGACTGATATTGATCTCAAGCGATTTCCAAATTTATGTTCGTTGACGCTAAAGCAAGCGACCGATGCTCAAATAAGACAGATTCGATATGAATATCTATCTAATCTTAAATATCTTACGATTGCATCAAAATTTATTTCTTCATTATTGATTCAACTTGTTAATGATATTTTTTCTAACAAATTTCCTTCACTTCATCATGTTTGTTTTCGTCGCTTCATTGAACCGTCCATTTGTTTTTGGTCTCTTGTACCAAATCTCAGAAGTGTATGCATTATTTATTGTGAAATAGCCATTATTTCACTCATTCTTGCATCATGTCCTCATTTGTTATATCTGCAAATAGAACTATTGCCGAATAATGGTTCTATACATTTTTCTGCAGCTTCTCTTGATAATCATCCACTTAAAACATTGATTTTGCTCGACTCTTACGCGACGCCTATATCTGCTCATATAGATCAACTTCTTTCTTATATGCCAAACATTGAACAGTTAGATTTCGAATTCGACTGTAGAATACCATTAGTTAATTTAATGTCTAATATTGCAAATCGTTTGACTCGTCTTCGTCAATTTTATTGTCAAATTACTGTATCATCAATCGATGGTCTCGATAGAATTCGTCAAATTCATCCATGTTTCAATAGTATCCAATGGAAACAAGATGTCAACAACTCTTTAATAATCAAATTGTGATAAATAGCATTGTTTGAGTAAAGAAAGTGTTATATATTAAATTGATGATCAATATTGACAAAATTCGAAATATGTGGAATATGTATAGTTTATGGTATATATAATATTTTCTGGCTTTGAAGATTCTGGTAGTGATAATGGAGAACGAAAACATTTTCTTTTGATTTTTTGCCTAATTTTGTTTGAATAACTTTGCGTGAAAAGTTCTTGTTTCTGAAGGTTACTTGAACATAATGGATACCGATAAAGATGATGAAGATGTTCGCTTTCGTTGAAGAAATACTGCTGCGATTCAACTCCATAGACGAATAGCCTAAAACTTATCAAATAATCAAACATAGTTTGTTCTTCTATGAATTTCATCAGGTTTCGAGCAATTCAACACGAACGATGGGATATATCATGAAATCTTAATATTTATGTAAACCAATGAACTACTGAATCGTCAAAAGAACCAATCTATTGACCATATGGTTCTAACAGGATATCTTCGTGCATGAAATAAGCCGTGTGATCATGACTTTAGGAACAGCTTGAGATATCTCTGATTATCAAGAACAGGTGCTATGGTCATCACTAGTGAGGAAGTGTACGTCGTTTTGAATCTTTCCTTGATCCGCAGTCACAACCGAAGCAACATACATTTAAACTTGCATTCTTCGACACTCATACAACGAACGTTCGTTCCTATTATTCAGTAAGAGGATAAAGAGGAGCTAAACTCTGAAGTTCAAAATTACAAGCAATTTTTCATGGCTTGAAAGTTCCACTATTGATTGACCTAGAGAATAATGAAGAATTGATTTAGTTCATACAACAGATAGTAGGTGTAGAGTGGGTACGGGTGTACTCATATCTTGAGGTATACCCACATCCCGATTATTTCGAAATTGAATGAAATTTATACGAAACATTTGTTACCAAAAGAAACGAAAATTTTTCTTTCTCACCCATTTATTTTATTGACATACATCAAAAAGCTTATTTGAGAACTGAACTGGAAAAATGCTTAACATTTTATTCTTGTTATAAAAAAAGAAGGAAGAAGAAAATATTGAAGGTTAATCGTGTTACGATGAAACAACATATAGACACTGGCAAGATTAGTTAAAGAATGTGAAAAGCGGATATGAAAAACAAATAGTATGAAGATTTCCTATACTGAAATAATAGGATCAAGACAGTATTCACGCAGTCGGAAATGTAAAATTGATGTGTTGAGATAAATCCTACTTTGCTGCTGTTTAACTCATTCTACACAGTCAAAAATGTCCGGAAAATCGGGTTTTCACAGTGCCTTTTGTCTATACTTCAACCCCGTTATAACTCGTAATTTCGAACATTAAGGACTGTGTGCAATGTGGTTAAATAGAGAGCGTTTTAATGCATTATAAAGATCGAGTGTTCATTTCGTTAATACAGACAACACATTAAAACTATTGAAGGATAGCTACAGCCCAAATACTCAGGTCAAAAAGATATAGACCGTTTTCCATCAGAAAGCACGGAAAATTGATAGAAAATGGGAAGGAGGAACCTGGTGATCGGACTCGGTGTCTAGATTTTCCAGTTCCGGCCGTAAACGATCGTAACCGGACAGAACCAGCCACCATATTCGATCATCGGTTTCCTACTGCCAAACTCCTACTAATGTGTCGAATGTTTCGAAAGCCAAAATCATTTGTCTGAGTTGTAATGCTAAGGTAGGCAGGTCGACGAGTTCGGAGCACCGAAGCAGGAATGACTTGCCGGAAAGCAGTCTATTTTACCGCTGATTCCAGCTAGTTCCTAGGATAATTCCTGTCGAAAACGATCGGTAGGGTGTGCGTGTGGCTTTAGCTGTAAGTGTGAATGTTGTATACAAATACACTCACACTCAATTAAATAATAACAAATAATTTACTTATCAATCTAGTAATTTCATTCATCATCTTTTTTGAATGAGTTATTAAAAATAAAACTATTTGTATTCAGATATACTAACTGTCATTCAACAAATCTATATGAAAGAAAGAAATTGTTCACTTCACAAAAGATACTAAAATTTCGAGTTCAACCGTTCTGAATTCAACAACTTTATTACTGTAAGTTATGATAATCAAAGGGAATATAAGAAGAATAAAACTCTATCAACTACTAAGTTTGCAATATTCCCATGGAAGTGTGGATGGGCCTTGTTTCTTGTCTGCGTCTCAGCCAAACTCTATGCTCATCAAGATCGATATTGAAAACTAACTATGATAAACCAAATGATAGAAAGGTTTTCGTTCTACATGTTCTTAAAACTTAGTGTGGCTCTGAGTGTTTTGTTCTACGAAAAAAACGTTAGGAATTAACACCTGACGGTATCTTTTGATACCTTACGGAGACTTATACTACAAAATGCTGGTTTTCTTACTATTGGATGCGCAATTGAATACTGGAACAAAATGATGCATGTATTCACTTGAACAGTTGAAACTTTTAGACTACTTTGAGTTAATTGAAATCAATAGCTCAGATTAGTCTGAGAACATTCATTTTTTTCTTTCAAATATTTGTTTCAATGCTTCCGAATTCATACCGACAGATGCAGCATTTTTTATAGAATATTGTAGTATATTTTTCATTTCGTCAGATCTGTTGTTCAAAACTGTCTATAACTTTCTCGATGAAGTAGATTTTAATTTTGTCAACTTTGCTATAGTGCGAAAAATCTATTCGAAAAACAAAGTCCACAGTTCCGAGGCAAATTAAATTTTCTATTTACTAGCTGAAAACCAAAATTTAAAATAATTTTTAAATGTTTCAAAGGTACAAAGTAGAATTGAGACGCGTTAGGTTCTATATCTCTGATTGTAAGTTAACGATAATGAGTATGAGACTGGAAAAATCAAATTTTAACCATTTTTACTGGAATGATCCAAATTATTTCAGCTGAAATGATTCGGATAATACTTTGATTAGAGCGATCAGCATTTCTGTGAAACTCACTGAAAGTATTGATTTTTTTCTGAAAGATCTTTAGATTATTTGATAAAGTGCACTCAGAGCTATTTGTAGATGAAAAAATCTTTTTTTGATAGAAAAAGATTGAAAACTAATCAAAATACATTCATTTCTCTTTCAAATGATCCGAATTACTCCAACAGACTATAAATAACACGAAACGTATCATCAAATTAATTTTGCATTGTTTCTCAGTCATTATAATAAAGTGATAACTTAAACAGTAATTTTATTTCAGCAGAGTGGTTCATACCTCTTTTTGGAAGATTATCACTATATATATGAGAGACAGTGAGAAACCGACAGAGAGAGTGAAAGAAACAAACAAGTCTTCACTTCGTCTCTTTTTTTTTAGATCCACATGAGTTATCAATAATTACACTAGTGTATCGTCTTTGCTTTGCATTGTTGCTGATAAAACTCTAATTTGTTGCCAAAATAGTTTTTTAAATGAAGCGCTTCTATAGCCAATTTTGTAGAGCATTGAACATACTTTGAAACAGTAAAAAAAGATTTTCTCTAAACGGTGTTTGCTTAAGATAAGAGATTCAGCAAACAAACATAACGCTGTTACATAGGCTTTTGTCAACAAGTTATCATACACTTGACGTGTTCAGAAATATTTAGTTTTCGTAAAAATTGATCTTTTCTGTATATATAATCGTTCTACGCAAGAATCAAATTGCAACATCAAAATAGGAACTCACTAACAATACAATAATTTGTTCTTAGCTACAAAAAAAATTTCTGGTTAGGCAATTAAAAGTACAGTTTTTCAAAATTTTAAAAGCCAGTGTTCGACGCCAAAACCCAACTTAAAAAGAAAACAAAAAGTATAATTCGTTATCAGTATGCAAAATTGCACCTAATTATGCATTCAGATCTGTCCAAATAAGTAAAGTTTTTCAAAAACTTGAACCACCAACTATTGCGTTATGTAGATAAACCGTATTATCATTTTGTGATCGATATGAATTTAATTTCCATTCAGAGTTGTGGCATCAATATCGATTTCTCTGAGATAATCGGTAAGATATGTTTTTATTTATTTTTGGACATTAAAAAAAAGGCCTCATGACTAAATAAATGTCGCAAATGCATACTCATTGATCACATGCTGCTTTTTTATCTTTTACATTCACATGAGAATAGAAAAAAAAAGGTAAAACAAAACTACTTGCATGTATAGAAAGACGTCACTGAAAATAAATGCATGATTTTGCTCTCCATTGATGACGATATACACCATTGTCTACGAGGAAAAAACCACTCTGTGTGAGCAAAAATAAGCCTATTTCTTTCGTCATTCATAGAAAGAAAAAATACTTTTGCGCATTTCTCCTTGCTAATCGACCAACGATTACATAAAATCAAATAATAACTGTACGATAATACCATTCGAATACTTATTCATATCCAACTAACATTTTTTTCATCAAGTGCCAAAAAGTAACAAGCGGAAATGAAGTCATTCAGTCAAATGATTTATTGGATGATTTTTTTGGTTCTGGCAGCTACAATGTACATGGCACAAATGGCCATAGCTGAAAATGTAGATGATAAACGCTTGCTTCGTCGCACACCGTACAAACGTACGATTTCTCCGTTTACCACAAAGTTTTAGATCTTAGCATCGATCAGATAATCAACACCAAATCTTTACTTTGATTTGAACAAAATACGTGAATAGTTGTTTCCTATGGATTATTTCTTAATGGAGTGTTTCTCGATGATATAATCAATTCTATATCTTTGCTCTGAATTGCATTAAATATTTGAATAGTTGTTTCGTATGAATAATTGTGTGATAGAGTATCCCTTAATGATACAATCAACTAGAAATATTTGCTTTGAATTGAACAAAATATTTGAATAATTACTTGCTATGAATTATCCCTTGGTTGCGTCTTCCTTAATGATATAATTAACTCCGAACTTTTTCGTCGCATTGAGCAAAATATGTGAATTGTTGTTTGTTATAAATTATTCCTTGATTGAGACTTCATCGATGA